TGAAGAGCTAGAAACCTGAAATTTGGGATATAGATCCGCATCGACCACCCAAGATCACGAGCTATGGCGGATATATCTACGCCCATTGGGGGCGTGGCAAATCGGATAAAACTGTATCTCCAAGAGTTTTACAGCTAGAAATGTTGCACGTCAGCTATTGTTAAGATTCTATATATACAAAATTATAAGTCTACGCCCATTAGGGGCTTGGCAAATTGGACCTGAAGATATAGTGATTTTTAAAATTCTTCTATATTTTGAGCACTATTGATTCCAGAGACATCAAATTTTTTAAATATACTCGGGCTGATCACCCAAGACCAAAAACCTTTGTCGGATATATGTCCGCCCACAGGGGGCGTGGCAAATTGCAAATGTTTATATCTCCGAAAGTATAATAGCTAGAAGCTTCAAATTTAGATAGTTAAGTTACCAGTAACCTCCTCTATCGATGACCTAAAAATAATTTTTACGCCTCTTTAGGGGCGTGGCATATCGAAAAATACCCTGTAATTTTCACATTTTTTGAGGGTAAGCATTCAAGCTTTGCAGTTAGGGTACCGTTATCTCGTTCTAAGAACTAACCAAAAATGAGGCACAGTAGGCCTGGCAAATCGGGAAAAACTGCATTTTCTACAGTATTAGAGCGAAACTTAGCAACTAAATTGCTGATGGTGTGTGAATGAGTATTTCGCAGTCGGTAACGCCCGACTGCAACGTTCTTAGTTGTTTAGACTGAAACTAAGACCAAATGACAAACTGGCTAAGTGACACGCGGCGAACAAAGTTTTCCATTTCCATCGTATTTGGCATTTGTGTATCTGTTTCCATTTCTACTACAGAAACAGTTTTCGGCTTTAGTTTCTTGTGCTGCTGCTGCGGGCCACTGAATAATTGAGGCCAACTCGTCAGAGTTGTGAGCGGAAATGTTCAAGTTGGCAGCACTTAGGCAGCCGCCCTTATCAGCTGGCGTTTTCTTTGTGAGCGAACTGCCGCTCCGGCCCGTTGCCCGTTTAATGCCTGTATAATTTAACGCCAGTTTAAATTTTAATTGTTTTAATGAAAATGTCGCCTGCGCCTTGTCATTTTCATAAAGTTTTCCACTGTCGCGTCGTAGATTTTACACATTTTAATTGCAAAGCCTCTCTCGCCCGGCTGACAGCCCTCGACTCGCCCATTTCCTCACAATTTGTTACAAATAATTATCATAACCTGATTAACATGAGCTCAGCAAGTGTTTCAGCGAGTGTGCCGGGGTGGGAGTGGCAGTGGCAGTGAGAGTGGGAGGCGAACTGGAGACGGAAATAGTCATTGGCAGTGGTAAAGCTCTTTCCAACCCCTTCCTATCTTCCTGCTCCTCCTCCATTTTCCTGTCCCACATTGCGTCATTCCCTTGCCCCGGCCACTCGTCGCATGTCTTAATTTGTAAAACTTTTAAAATGCCGCCGCCGTCGCCATCGCTTATTTTTTATGCATGTTAAGAGCGACAATCTCAGCGAACACACACACACACACAAACACACATAGACACACAGCGATAGAGAGCGAGAAACACACTCTTAATTATGCCAAGTGCCAGCCCGAGTTTAAGCTTAAGTTGTTGTTGCTGTTGTTGTTGCTGCTGCTGTTGCCATTTGTTGTAATTTGGCGGTAGACGTGGCTGCATAATTAGAATTGTAAAAACGTATTTAACATTTTTGTTAATGCCAAAACCAGGACACTCAACTGGAGAGACAGAGAGACGCACAGAGTGCGAGACGGGGGAGGGGGAAGGAACTGAGGCAGCTGCATGTGTGGAATCATCAAGCGATAAGGAGGACTACGCATGCATATGCAATGAAACTTGTATGAAATTTGAATGCGGGGAAAAGCTTTTGCACACATAATATACATATATAATAAATATATTTTTATACCTGTAAATATATAATATAATAATAATAATTTTAAAATTTGTTATATATACATATCTAACTGTTAAACTAAATGCATAAAGCATTATATTTCATTTGTATTAATTATCAAGAACGATTTTGTTTCAAGAGGATAAAACTGTTTTAGGATTAATCGCGATTTTCGATTTATAATAAGAAAACTTTTGTTTATTTTTGAGAGATTAAAATCCATAAAAAATTAATACTAATTTAAGCACTAACGAGAGAATTCGGCTTTTTGTTATAAATTCAAGCAAAAACTTTAATTTGGAGCAACTAATCGAAATAGCTCTGGCGCATAGATCTCTGGTAAAGTCTATGCTTTAGTTGCTGAATCATCTATAAAAATATATTTTAAACTAAAACTGCATTTATTTAGATTCGAATCTAGATATAAAATGTTCTACAGCAGTTGAATTAATGTCAAACCCAATATTAAATGAGATCTATATATCCTTTCGATATTAGCTCACTTTTGGACCTCCACAGCTTTGCATGTGGTAAATCTTTTCACAGCTGTCACCGGCAATTTGCAACAAAATGCGGCAGCTTTAAAGCATCTCTCGTGTGCATGCTGGCAAACAGTTGGGGCAGATGCGGGGAGTCATGCCCCCACAGCGATGTCGACTATCGAAGTCATTTAACCAAAAAGCGATTAATCTATAAACACATAAACAACATGCGCTGCGGCCCGACTGCAGCAAAATAAAGAAACAAAACGTGGAAAAAAAAAAAATGAAAAAAGAAAAACCCAGCCAAATGCCCGACACTGAAAAATGTGTAAAATCAGTGAGAAAAATCGAAAATCGAAAGCGGCTCGCCGAGGACAACGTGACGTCCTGGACTGGGCTGGGCAATTGCTGCTGCTGCTGCTGCTGCTCCTGCTGCTTCTGCTCCTGCTCCTGCTCCTGCTGCTGCTGCCTGTGTCCTTCGGCCAGCTTCATTGGCAGCCGCAGTGGCCGATGCGGCTCAGTGCTGGCGTTTTATGCAAATGTTTGGCCTCATGCAGTGTCCGAGCCGATTTCCGGCCATGTGTGACAGTGGCCAATGCACAGTGGCCAGGACTCAGATCCAGCCAGCGGCCAGGCAATAAAAATAACGGCCGCCGCATCAAGCATCGCAAGCAAATAGCCAACAACAAGTGTGCTCCAAGCATTGAGACCGCACTATAGATGCCCTCTATCTGAGAGATATTTCAATGGATACGAATACGAATTATAGATATTTTGAATTTTTAATATTAAATTATTCTTTGACGCTGTTTTCTAGATGGGAAATTTAAAATAAAATTTCTGAAAATTGATTAAATTTTGCTTATTAGTGATAAATAAGCTGAAAATAAAAATAAAATAAATTAAAAAAAAATTAAAATAATATAAGCAGAATTTCCCAAAATTGATTTTTCCAGTGACAAATCTGAAATAAGATTCCCAAACTATTTTTGATAAGTAAATGTTGATTAATGTGAATTATACATGAAAATAAATATCTGAATTATTTTTATTTTCTCTCATGGATATTCCCTAATATATTCCCTAATAAATTCTGAACTTTCACAGAAATGTAGTTTTTATTTATTAAACTTAATTAAAAAATTTGAAAATATTTGCTGCAAACTTTATTACACTGCAAGGCATAAGAACTAATATCAAATCCAATACATAGTAATAATAATATAATAGTAATCCATATATATCAAGGATATATTCTCTACTAGAGAGACTTACCTATTCACAAATTTCGATTGACTTTTGCCATCGAACTGTAAATGAAACTCTTTGGCGCTGTGTGCTCCGTTATTTTGCGTTTCGCTGTTGCTGTTGCTGTGGCCAGTGACCATTAAACGGTATTTGGCCATTTGCAATTTATGAGTGCCCAACAATGGCTACACATCCGGCCATGTATCGCATGGTTGGTCGGCTAGGTCGTGTCGGCATCGATGCGAGTGTCTGTCGATGGGGCTGGGGGGACGGCTGGTGCGGGTGGTGCGGGTGGTGCAGCATCATCGTCATCGTCATCGTCGACGTCGACGATGTCATGTGAATGGACCATGGTCCATTTCATAGGCGCGCGATTATTGTTAAATGACTTCGGATAACAACAACAACAACAACAACAACAACAACAACAACAACAATGCGGCTATTTATGATTCTCATTGCTGTTGTTGACCAAATGAAGCGTAATGGTCATATTTTTGCTTGACATGCCCCATGCCCCATACCTCATGCTGCCTTCTCGTTAGGCGCACAGTGCCAGTCAAACGTACACGTTCGCATAATGTAAATATTCGTCTGGCCGGACGGCAGCAACAGCACGAACAGCTGTTGCAGGCACCACGCATAATAATTTTTTTTTACAAATTTACTTTATTTTATATATTTTATTATTATTATTATTATTTTTTATTTTTTCTTTGTATAAATTAATTTTACAAATATAATATATATATATATATAAATGACACGACCAAATGCGCCCAAAGGATTTAAGAGTAAAAAGAGAAGTTAGATGAGCGTAATAAAGAGGGACACAGAGCGAGAGAGAGAGAGAGAGAAAGAGAGAGACAGGGGGAGAGAGAAAGGGAAATGAAAGTGAAAAAAAAAGAACGGACAGACAGAGGGCAAGCCAAGGGCCGGAAATATTTGGCCAGCTTGGGGTAGGCAAACGGAAATCACAAAATAAGCAAATTGTCTGGCAAAATAAAAATTACTTCCGCAACGCACGGACGCTCCCAATGTCCGCGACAGAGACAGACGGCGCTTACTTGTTGCACACAGAGTCAACAAATCAGAGGCTCGGCCACTCGATGCCGGGAGCCGCAGCTCAAATGCTCTTTTTTGTTTTCAATTACCAATGCCCTTCTATGCGCTTTTCATAAATATGAGACTTCAAGGAGATGACAGCTATGAAGCGAATCAAAGAAGACTCCGTTAATTTATCTATTAGTCAAGTATAGCCGTTCTATGCAATTCTCAATGCAAATTTATTTTTATTCATATTTCCCAAATTAACATAGAGTCTATAATACCTTAGAGCCATCAGGATAGCTGAGAGCTGGTATTCGAATGTTGTTTGTTTCAACTTTGTTTTTTTTTACATTTGTCAAACAAGATTTTAACCTAAAATTGTTTGGTTTTGCCTTCAAATACAGTGAGCATTAGGGTTTTTGCCTTTCTCCCGGTTTCGTCGTTGGAACGAGTCATAAATTATGCAGAGCAACTGTTGAAATTCAGCCAAGTCCCATTCACTCTACGCAGCATGACAGAAGCGTGGCACCAGCTCTTCGAGCTGGTCAAAAACTTGAACCTCTTCCTGAACCAAAAGGGGAGTAAGTGATAACTGTATAGATGGAAAAGACAATAATTATACATGTTTGCATTCAAATTAGACAATTCGATAGAGTCCAATGCATTTGGGGAGCAGGAGATGAGCATTGACCAAGCCTCCTGCAGCATGGTCTATAGAACAGCCGGCCGGGCTAGCCATCGTAAAAGGAATCTGGTAAGTCCAAAGAGAAACCGCTCCTCACCCCCCTTCTCGCTTCCACTCTAATTCGCTTCTCGAGCAGGCTGTCCACTTTGATACGACCCAGCTGCAGCTACCGGAAGTCATTAGGCCCCGTTACGTATCGAGCACACGCTTGGCACTGCCATCCAAAGGCAAAAGGATATCCACGCTCACACCCACCAAATTAACCCGAAAGAAGAAACACAATATGAGCCCGCGCCAATAGATGCTGATAAGTCTCATAAATAAACCAACAATAATCGGAAGGTTTTCAAAGTTTTAACCTATTCTATTGGAGTTGAGTTTTAGAGGAAAAGAGTTGCATATTTTCTAGTTGAGTTAGGAGGAATCTGAGATTATTTGAGTGCAGCCAAAGCTGTCTTTATGTACAGGGTATCAGTCAGTTGGCCCTCTGCATATTGCACCTTATAGAGGACACATTAATTATGTCAATCATATACACTTATTTTTTTTTTGTTCAGTCTTCAGCCTCCTCCGCCTTCCCACTGTCAACTGATAATGAAACCTTAGCACTGTTGCTTTGATCTGCAAACAAATTTAGGCACAGGTGTAGCAAGGACACACACACAGATACAATGAGAGAGCAAGAGAGAAAAAGAGAGAAAAAGAGAGATAGAGATAGACCTGCACACACACGCTCATTGAATTTGGTCGTCAACAAATGACAAAACGCAAATAGAGCTCCAACCCCCGACACACTTCCAATACCACCAATTATGCCAGGGAGGTGGAGGCAGGCCGGAGGAGAGGTGTTGGGCAACTGGAGCTATTAGCGCCCAGTGGAAGCCAACATTCTAATGAGTTGCCTGGCAGCCGTTGGCCGTTGTTGAAATGCGAGTGTTGAAATGTTTTCGTTCTCTGTTATTTTGACGCCTCTGCTCGAGCCCAGGCAGAGGGGGGGTTGGGCCTGATGCTGGTAAGGGTGTGAGGGGAGGGAGGCGAATAGCGCTTATGTGGTATGCGATGGCTTCGATAAGTGTGCATGTGCGTGTGTGTGTGTTGGTGTGCATGTGTTGTCTTGTTTTTCTGGTTTATTGGGCTAATTCAATAACCAACAAGAGCGTCAGGCAGGCTGTAAAAAAAAAGAAACACACACACACACATAACAAGGACAACGCGGCTGCCGCTGAGGTTTACGTTTTTGAAGTCTAGACTGGGGCGGGGACTTGGGTTGAATGTCTGCCGGTTTGTATCTAAATAGCAGAAGCACATACACACACACACGTACACACACACACAGACACACACGGGTTTAATGGGGACTGGGCGCTTGCCTTAATGCATGGCAGTTATCTGCCCACAGGATTTCCGTTTTAGATCATCGCACAAAAAACACACACACAAACAACGTTTGCCCATGGAGTGAGTGCAGCATCCTGGCAATGTCCTGGCAATGTCCTGGCTGCTTGACTGCTGCGAGTGTTGAGACCATTGGCAGTTCGCACTCAATCAGATAACTTTACGCAAAACCCAAGCCAAAGGAATTCACCAGCCGCAAGCCACAAATATGATAGGTGTGTGTGTGTGTGTGCGAGTGTGAGAGAGAGAAGGAGAGAGAGAGAGGGAGGCAGAGTAAGCGAGATGCGAATGCTTAATATAATTGGACGGCGTGGACAATGTGTGTTTAGATCAAACAAATGAAATAATGCTAAAATATATTTTATATAAATTATATAGAGAATCTATTTAAATGAATGAAAATAAAAAAAATTTTAAATTTCAGTTTAATATATATTTATATTTTATTGCACTAAAATTTCATTTATAATATAAAATATATATATATGTATGTTATAAAATTTATAATAATCATGCTCTGAAACGTTTTAGAGCTTTCGCAACACATTAACTATATCACACACACATACATACATCTATAAACAACGTGTGTGTGTGTTTGGAAATTTGGCAGGCAGTAAATCAATTCGATAGGCTGAGCACACAGGGACAGGGACAACCCTCGCTGCTGGCACATACGAGGACGAGTTTATAACTTTATCGGGCATAACGAGTACATTATCCTGGCGCAGGCTGGCACACGTTCCTATCCTGTGCTTGTGCTGTCTTGTGTTTTTCTCTCTTTTTCTTGCGGCATTTAAAAATAACTTTAATGGAAAATTTATCGATCAGGATGCGTCAGGAGGGGGCAAAGCAGGACTAAAGCTGCCGTTGCTGTTGTTGTTGTTGTTAATGTTGTTGTTCTTGTTGTTGCTGTTGCTGTTGATCCCCGCATCGAGATAAACAACGCATAAGCAAGCACAAAGGCAAGCCAACAATAGCAACAACAACAACAACAACAAGAGCAACGCATGCATAGGCAGTAAATCGCCTGAATAGAAATCAACAAGGATATTATGTGCCAGGCATGTCCTTGTGGCAGCCGTTTAACCATTTTGCAGGTTGCCCGCTCACGTTGCCAACATATTAAGACATTTTAGTGCCGTTTTCACTTCATTAGTTTTGATTTCGATTCGGATCGGGACTACGGATTGTGGATTCTGGAATTGCCTTTGAATTTCAAAATGCGCAACACACGGCCAATGAACATAATAAACACGACAATGGAGGGAAACAAATGCAAATGGATTTTGTGCTACATGAAGTATTAATAAATACATGATGTTAGGTATAACTTTAAATATAATCAAGGAAATCTATAGGCTAAAAGTCTACGGCTGGAGAGCATTCTTTGAGGCAGAAAGAGAGAGACAGAGAGATAAGTACAAGAAAGTACTTAATGAGTGCAGCTGAAGAACGAGCGAGATGGGGGGAAATTGAGAGGGAGAAAGAGAAAGGGAGAGCGATAGAGAGAGAGAGAGAGAAAGAGAACGAGAAAGAGAGAGAGTGAAAGAGAGGGGGGATCTCTGATGAAATCATTCATTCATGACTTTCTAATGCATTCGATTTGACGAACTACAACTATAAATTATTCCAAAAATATATCTCTCTATAAATTTTCTCATAAAATTTCTCTAGCTATTTCTTATGCATCGATCTTAAAGAAATATGAAGAATGATATTGCTATTAAAACTTTAATTTATATACCCAAAGTGTATAAGCCGTACCGTAAGAATATTTCTGTCTATAGTGGCGCAGCAGCTCACTGCACGCTACAGAGTATCTGCTAGTCGGGCAGTCTCGCCTAGAGCACACTCTCTCTCTCTCACTAGTTTATTATTTATTTGATTTAAATGGTTATTTCACCTTTTGTCGGTTTACTTACCAAAACCCGACTAAAGATGAAATAACCAAGAATCCTATGCCCTACTGGAAATGTTGATTAATTTATTATTTTTTCTAAATAGAAAAAGAAGTCGCTCTGTGAGCAACTTCAACTCCGATAACTGTTTCGTTCTCGATGCCTTGACACTCTGTGAAAGCTATAACAACTTGGGAATTACAAGTCTGGCTTATGTAGTGACTGTTTCACGTTTGTGTAGCCTACTTTGATGTAGATATCCAAAATGCAGATGACATTGACAACTCTATCGACAGCTTTATGAATAAGCTGAAACAAGCAGCTATACAAACAACATCAAGAAACCAACAGCATATAGACAGCAACAACTGCCCTCTGTAATAAGTACCCTCTGTAATTCGTCGCAAACGCAAAGTCAGAAGAGAGAACAGGAGACGCCCGAATTCAACAGATCCAGAAAAGGCTTGCAACTCGTCTTCAAACAGTGCTTGCCCGAAGAAAGCAAATAGAAATAGATAATGTGCTGGAAAATTTGGACACTGATGCTCCCACAAACTCCTCTCTTTGGCGCCTCACTAAGAGGTATAAGTCACTGGCCACGCCAAACTCAGCTTCAAAGAGCCAGATTAAGATCCAGATTAAGCTGCCAAAAATGTATCGGTATGCTAACCTGTAAAAAAAAATTTTATAGTTTCAAAAAAAAAAAAAAAAAAAAAATGTCTATAGGATTTCATAACAATTCCCAAGGCTGGCACGCTAAAGTTTTATGCGTAGTTCTAGCTGTCAGCCTAGAGAAGAGTGTTGAGCGGATGAGAGAGAGAGAGAGAGGGGAGGGGAGCGCTAAAGAGGCAGAGACGTGGGCTACAACTTTCACACTTCCGCACCAGCGCGCCTTTAGTTGCCCACCTGCCCCCTGCCCCCTGCCCCCTTCCCCCTGCCCTCCGCCACTCAGCTGCTTAATTATGCGACCGCCATGATGGGAGGGCCGCTGCAACAACTTGCGAAACTTTTGCCAAAGAAAAACTCTAAGCTCAACTCAGGCCGCTCCACGCTCCACTCTGCCATCTCCATGCTGCTTGGGGCCGGCACTTAATCATGGCGCGGGAATTATGAAATGTGCTGCGTAACGTCGTCAACATCATGGCCATGCAGTTTCTTTTTCCCAGCTCATTCGCGCTGTTTGCCCTCCTGGTCTCTTCTGGCCTCTCCTTCTCCCTCTCTCTGCCTCTCACCGCCGCGTCATTAGGCTAATGTACTGTTACTCCAACGGTTACTTTGCTAGCGGCTGACGCCGCCAGTGATAAGTTTAACTGTTGGCAAAACTGTTGTCTACATTGCGCCTCAGCGCACTGAACTGAATGGGCCCGGGGAGGCGGCGAAGTGCATCGGTGGAGCCAGCTGCTGGCCATTGCGATGGAGTTCGCTATGCTAATAAAGATTCGCTATAAAATTATGATGATGTGGCAAAAGATAGTTAGAGATGGGCAACGGGAGGAAGGAAGGAGAGAGAAAGAAAGGGACTGTGAGAGAGCGAGAGAGAGAGTTATAAAATCTGATTTACAGAAAGATGAGACAATGCAGGAAGTCAAGCAAGAGTTGAAAATAGGGTTATCAAATATTTGAAAAATATCGTATAGATGATATTTTGAGTTTTGAAAGATATCAATATGATATTTTATATGCAACTTTGAAAATATCAATATATCAATTTTTTCCGATATATATAATTCCGATATAAATATAATTTTTAAACAAAATTATCGATTTATGGATATATCGATACGTTTTCGACAGCCCTAGCTGAAATCTCTTTAAGATGCTCCCGAATAATATCGATGGAAATATACAAATATTAAAAGTTTAAGTAAAACTAAATAAATAAATAGACTAAAAATATAAAATAAATCAAAAATATTTAAATAGAAAGGTAGAATGTAATCAAATTTAAGAGAAATGAATTCTAAGAAACTCCAGGATATCGTGAAAAGTTTTCATTTCATTTGTGTTCTCTCACATATTTTCCAATAATGATTACTATTCATGTT